GGGGGGGGGGGGGAAACACTATACCGGTGACTTGCTTGAAACATTTTTCTCTCTTACTCTGGCGTGGCCTATGTGTTGTGAGAGAAGTGTGTTTGGGGGGTAAGGCGGTTTATTTTCGCCGGTTGCTAAATGGGTGATAGTTTGGGTTGTCGAAATGACCGGAATGGGGAAAAGCAAATATTCCGTAATCGCAAGAAGGGGAAAAAGAAAACAAGGGAATGGAAGGTTGTATCACACCGCCACGTTTACGCGCCATTGATTGTTTCTGGATTTCTGGGCGTAGTTTTTGTTTTGTTAAGATGTCGCTGAACGGATAGTGCTTCTAGAAGTCGGTCTGGGGGGTGATTCTTCGTTGTACCGGTTTTTTGTCTTGTTTTTTTCCTGTTCTTTTTCTTTGTTTTAACGGGGGGAAGGCAGGGAGGTAGTACTTTTTTGGGTTTGGGTTTGGTTTACGGTTTGTTTTACATCATATTTACCATTTCTTTTTTATTTCTATCACGACATCCGGTGTCTCTGACTTCCGTATTGAATCACGGGCCCAACTGCAAATGCATGGAAAAGGGCAAGTTTGTGCGTGCCAGTGCTGACGCGGGTGTCAGGCGCTGAGACGGGATCATGCGGATGAGCGGTATAGGGGGTTTGGGCAGAGAGAAAGGGCGAAAAAGGAAGGGCGACCAGGTCGGCGAGTTGCAGAGGCAGATGCGAGATCTGTGCAGAGTGTTTGGACATCGTAACTGGAGTGTATGTCTGGCTGCGGGAATGCATTCCGGAAATTGGGGTCTAGGAGAGCAGGAAGAGGGACGAAGCTATGGCGATATGCATTGGCGCGTGACGCGTAAGGGCGGTCCATACTGTAAGCTTGAGCAGAAAAGTGTCTATTGGTCCTTTCTGGCAAAGGGAGAGATTCCGATATGTCGTACGCCTGTCGTCTGTGTCCATGAGTGTTCTGCATGCTTCTTCTACTTTTCACTGCGGTAATATCCGATCCCTATCATGGCGGCAGATCAGCTTGTCGTCATGCTTCTTTTCTTAGCCCAAGCATGTGAGTTTCGAGGACCATGGGCCGGGGAGGGAGGATGGGACGCGACTGTCCAAATAGATTAGCTTTTCTTCTTTTTATCACAAGGCCTGGGGAATGCTACACTATCACGTCTCCACGTGAACGCTGTTGTAATGTAACCAAGCACGTAACGTTCAGTAGTTACTAAGTGACGGGACCACCGGATGAGGCAAAGAATTACCAGTCATGTACCACTGTACTGCTTGTATGTCTAGTTGAGTCCCTTGGTGCATCTAGTGAACAAATAGGTACACGTATTTTCTGATAGCTGCTTGTACTTGTTCACAGAGTTTAGCCTCCTCCGGCAATCGGCGGGGATGTCGTCCATGTCACCCTAATCACAGGTTGTATCTGTGATGTCTAAGAGTTTTAGTCTAAGCACTTAGTTCAGACATGGCATAGGCTTCGCAATAAAAAGATGACAAGCGGCCATGTGGTATCGGGCCACGGAACTATCCATGCGCCATTAATGGAGTTGAGAAACAGTCACTTGTATACCAGGTTTCCCTGGAAATGCAAGTCGCACTATCATCGCAATGTCCAAGTAGACAAGGCTTACTCTGCCAGCAACTCCTTGGTAGAACCAGTTCATATCATGTACGAGCCGACACCAAACAGTCGCAATGGCCATTTGCCGGTGACGTCGTGCGCCAATCTCCAAAACCTGTTACTGTGTATGCACTGAACGACGGTCGAAAACAGTCAGCATGAGGCCCTGCACGGGGCGCCATTCGGCATCCGCGGCCGCTAACTGTGCTGTCTTCAACTACCCGTATGCACATATATACACATGTACATACATCCTCCCGTAGGATTACCGCTGCATCGCCAAGCGAGGCTCGATCCTGCTATTTCCGCAGTGTGGAAGCCCTTGAATCTAGATAGTGTACATCGGCTTAGGATAGTATCCCCTTCGGCACGGTTTGGTTGCTAAACCACCCCACGCCGATCTCAGTTCCCGAAGCCTTCAAAAGCCGACTCCGGTTGGAGGCGACGGGTGGGTGCAAATTTCTGCAAAAGCGGGCGTGGGGTTGATGCATCTTGAGCCACAGATAGAATACGATTGGGTTGCAAGTCTGGGCAAAAGGGCGAAGAAAATGTCGGATGCGGGCATAGTATGTAGTATGTAAAAGCTGTGGCATCCGTTGTCGGTGACGCATAGTTTGCCATTCGCTGGTGCCGGAGTCGCGGCCGTGGCGGCTAACTTGGCGGGATCGGCTTAGCGCCACGCCCATGGCGCTGCTCTCGCATACGCGATGCTAGTGGCTTTACTCACGCCTGCGTCAAGCTTTCTGACGTGCACCTATTGCTTGAGAGGAGATGTGGCACGATGAAACGATAGCGATCGGGACAGGATACTAGTTGGCAGGCTGACAAGCAACTCGGCGCGCCGGAACGAGGCATTGAGAGAAGCCGGATAGTGGATGGTCGGACTAAGCGTCATGGTTTCTCTTCCCACAACGGGTATGCCGCAATCACATAATGCATGCACTGGAAGACGGCTGCAACCAAACTTGGCAGGGCGCTCATGTCCGCGGCTCCATAGCGCCACAAAGCGAGAAGCGCGAGGCGAGAGACTGTCGGAAGTGGAGAAGGGGCTATTCATGTGCCGTTGCTGCTGTGCAAGTGCTCGAGACATTGCCAGCCAGCTCCACGCACAACCGTATGCGTACTGCAGAAATCTTTTCCGCAAAAGCACTAGATGGCTTTGTGCGTCCAAACTTTGCGGCGAAACGTAAGAGGCGCAGGCCTAGGGCCCAGATCACATGAGTGGCTTGCTGTTTACGAGCGGCAGCAAGTCCTCGAAAAAAAATGCTGCAGACAGTCAGCAACAGGGAGGGTGCAGTTCGCGCGCGAGAGCGAGAGCGAGAGGAGGGGTTGAATCCTATGTACCAAGTACACTCAGCGACCACTTTATACCAGAACCACTCATGTGCCCGTCTCTTAGGCCCGTTACACTGGTTCTCATGCCGTTGAGTCCACAATCACACCATCGGCGTGCTGGATTGAGTAAAAGTGCCCGTCTCAAAACAGACTGGTAGGCCACGACGGTCCCGCTTCGTGACGATGGCGTGCAGGGGGCCAAAGGGCCAGATCGGGTACGCCACTAGCTAGCGAGCCGTAGGCGCAGGCTGCGTGTTACAGCTGAGGGGGTTTGTACGGGTCGACAAGTGGTGCCGCGGGACGCAAGCCTATTCGTGGGCCTGCAACAGCGAGCCACTCGGAGTACCGTGCACACAACGGTTTCTGTTGCGTCTGGGTGTCATTTTTTGCTAGTACTTTTTGCATTCACTGTTCTGTATACGCAGAACAGTAGCAAAATCCAAAACATACTTGCCTATCCAACACTATCCAGTCTGCGCTGTCAGTCTAGGGGACAGAGCACGCTGCCATGAAATATGCACTCTTCTGCAGCAATACGTAAGCGGGCTGGTGCTTTGGCACTCCATTTGCCGAGTCTCTGATCTGACGTCTATATCCACATGGTAGGGGTCAGAAGGGGGCGTTCTGCAATGGAGCGTGTCACGCATCTAAGGACATGTGCGGCACGTTGCAACGCCCTGTCAACGGTCCTGACCATGGCCTGGATGGAGTTGCCCAATGGATATTTTGTCGACTACTGGCATGCTTCACAACATGTCACAGTCCATGGCACAGCATGTCTCTGCCCAGTTGGTACGCAGGCCACCAGCTTTGGTGAAACTGCTTTGGCCGTTTGTGCCAGTGCCTCCCCCCCATCACGTTGCCACCCCAAGACTGATCGGTATACCCAAGCACGCTAGGCATGCAAAATCCTCGACGGCTCTGTATGTATGTACATATGTACGCAACATGGGCATAGGTATATAAGTAGATAGGTAAGTTATAGCTTCGTATACGGTAGACCGCTGTGTGTCAGTAGGAAATTCTCCGAGACAGCTGTCATTTGTTGGGTTGGCGCTGGCCTTGTGAATGACTTGCAGCAGCCGGTTGAAGGCTTCCGGAGTGGCAGGATGAGGAAGTTGTATCATGTCAAATCAAACAAAGGCCATGTGTGATGGAAAGCTACCAGGTCGGGGTGCGAAACAATCACTGCTGTACTGCGTGTCATCCTTCCACAGCCGCATAGACAGGTCGATTGTCGCGCGGCATCGAGTGTGGCTGACTGTGCATATATGCATATTTTGTATCCATGGACGGTTCATGCGACCATAGTCGTCGTTGTCGTTGTCGTTGTCGTTGTCGTCGTCGTCGTCGTCGTCGACATTGTGTGGTTTGCAGTTTCGTAGTTTTCAATTTTGCAATGAGCCATGGTTGACCGGTCAAGGCAAGAATACTCGAAGCGCCATGTAATCAATGAACTATCTACGCGACGGCAATGCTTGGCAGAGATAGTAGGATACTAGCTACCGACGTTGACCCACTATCTAGAGGTCAACGAGGCCTCCAATCTTGGTCGGCACACGCACGGGATATCTCACCATGTGGAGGCAGGCGAATCAGACGTTGGGACATGTTCACGCAGAAGCGAGCATCATGGTAGTCGTGTGGCCCGCTTTGCAAAAGACGTACGAGGGCGGTTGATTATGCCCATACGCGGCATAGTGCAATTGCTCGACGTATAATTGCCTCTTGCTATAGCTCGACTTTTTAATCGGGCCTCTACGCTGGCCAAAGTGCTGGAGCAAGTCATAGTTTGCGGCGCCTGAGTAGCATGCCGCAAAGGGAATCCATGTCTTGAAGTAGCAGTCGGTCGGTGGTAGACGCCGACAAGGGCCCAATGGGCATTTGGCCGCACAAGGCACGGTCGATCAAAAAAGCATGACCCAAGAGATGGAATCGACTCGACTGCTGGGATTCCGAAAATCCCAGCGGTGAGCGCTGACAGGCGAGCGGAAGCGGGGACTGGATCTGAGGGATTGGGCATAGGCGCCGATGGACGGACAAAGAGTAAGTTCCTGTTACGAATGGGATTGAGGCCGCCAGACACATTGAAACGAGAGTCGCGATGCAAAGTTTATCAGGCCGACAGGCAGGCATAAGACGGGAAGCGTGCAGGAGGGACGCTGGCGGCACAGGACGGGACAGGCGAGGCTTATGCTGGGAAGGGGGGAGGAACGGACGGGACAATGGGTGTGGGCGGAGGTGTCCATGTTTGTTCTGCTGTCGCGTCGCATCGCATCGACAGGCCTGGAAAGCGTCTGCCACTGCCACCATGGCACACTATGGGGACAATGGCACAGAATACGAGGGCGACTGGAGCCGTGTGTGGGCAGGCGGGCAGGTGGCAGAGAGGCCTTGGCTTGGCTCGGTTTGCCGGATGGGCGTCCGCGCTCAGCCAGGTCGTAGGCTGGCGTGGATCGGAGGCGTGCATGGCCGGCCGGCCTCGACGCAGCAGCAGTGGCATGCCATGATTCGCATGCCGGGGTGGGTGTGCAGGGCCTGCAGAGGCGACGCAGTGTCTTGATTGTGGGCGCCGAGAGGCACAGTGACACGGGCAGCCGACAGCAGCCGCCCTAGGCTTGCTTTGCCTCTGCCTCGTCGCGCGCCCGTTCCCTCGCATGGAGGTGGGCGGGCAGGGCAGGGAACAAGGAAGAATCTGCAGCTAGCAGCCCATGGGCGGGGGTGGTCGGGGGGCCGTGGGCACAGAGGTTCAGGTACATCTCCCGCGGTGGAGCGCATGAGTTTCGCAATCAAACAAGTGCGAGTCGACGGAGGAGCATGGCGCTGGGCCCCTTTGGGGGAGGCTGCGGGTGTTGGTGTTGGCGATGGTGGGTGTGTGTGTGAGGTGTAAGTGTTTAGGTGGTGGTGTGGTGTGGTGTGGTGGGCGTTGGCGTTGGCGTTGGCGTTGCGGGTCGAGGTGAGAGAAAAAAAGATCGAGGGATAATAATACGGCGTTTGACTGTATGTACCATGTGCGGAGGTGTGGATGTACGTGTGGATGTACGTACGCCTGTATGTATGTAGTATGTATGGATATGAATGGATGAGTGTGTCTGGACGGATGGCTGGATGGGTCAATGGACTGGACACGGCGCGGGGCCCAATCCTCTGGCGCGCCGGCGCGCAGTGGACCGGCACAGCCAAACCGGGCGGCGACGCTGCAGAGACGATGATTCCATGTCGCTATACTATGTACACACATACGGCCGTGGCCAGCTCTTGGTGGTGTCGTTCGCAGCGCAGGGATTGCTGACGTTGGCTCTACTGCGGCGAACATCAGTGGGGTGCTGGGCTGCTAAGAGAAATAATTAGCAGCCTTCACTCCATCATAATCCACTCTTTTCCCTCGCCCGTCGCTCTCGCCCTCGCCCTCCTCCACACCCCGCCAACACCTNACCCCCATCTCTCGTGCCGCCGTCTCGAACGTGCATCACCACCCTCTGTCCCTCGACGACGCTCAGTCCTGCCCCTGACGCATCCCCCGCCTGCCGACAACAGCGGTGCGCAGCTTGGCTCGCGCCTCGGCCTGATTGGACGATAGCCGGACGGGCCCCATCACCCTCCTACTCTCTGCCTGCTGGCCTGCTCTCCCTTGGTTCTGCTCCCAGACCCCTCACCAGCAGAGGCCACCGCCCATTGGCAACCAGGATTCGCCCGCCCGCACCTTATAGTCCCTCACTGTCGCTTCTCTCGACCCACGGGTGTCTCTGACTTTGCATCTTGCTCAACTGCACCTGTCCACCTTCGTTTATCTCCGTCGATCCCCGCGGGACCCTCATCCGGCCCACTATTTCCCAC